CTTGGTAATTTTTTAGTAATACAATATATAATAGCTGGGCATTTACTTTATGCTTAAAAGTGGTAAAGGTGTGAAAGGAATAATGCAGTGGCTTATTCATAGATTATAGATAGTTTATTCAAAGTATAGTCCAATATAATATTCTACTGTTTAATTTTTTATTAACATAATTACATATTATTATGAAACTATTGTACATTTTTAATCTCTATAACTTCATAATGTAGGTTGTATTAATTATTAGAATTTAACTTAACTTAATTAATTACTATTTTTTGCTTATAAATAATATATATAAATATATAATTACAGTTAATATATCGGAAACAAATAATATGTCACCATAATAATGAATGAGTAATAATTATAAAAACTATAATACCTATATAATATTATTACAGATAGGTATACTAATATAAGTTATTATAATAATATTAATATATTTGTTTATTCAGATTCTTTAATTGTGTGCAAAATTGGCAAAGCTACTGATTGCTCATCACTTATCTTTAGAATAATACACTTACAGCGAATATTTGAAAACGGACAATGGACCAAATCAGAGTTCAAATTATTTTTGATCAAAAATATGCCAAGATCGGAACTTGAAATAGGTTTGTCATAGAGTGATGTCTCATATTTATCAAATCGGTACCCTATTAAAATCACTTCACCATCTATTGTTTCGATAATATTTACAACTTTTAATATATGTTTTTCAGTATTTTGTTCAAAACAATCCTTTTCGTTAATACAAATTTCAGTATTTTTTATTTTCAGTGTCTTAAATTGTTTATAATTAGTGTATGTTTTTGATAATGTAGTAGTAACAGGCCCATTATGGTGAATATTTTTTAAAATAAAATAAATACCTGATTCTTCAACTGATTTTCCATATTTATTATATTCAGTATACCTCTTAACAGCTTGCTGAAGTGGCTGATGACTTTTTCTTACATACTTTTTTAATGTTGACATATGGTTTTCAAATGGGAAACAACTGCAATTGTCCAACGGACCGAAATTTTTGTAGTCATCGCAAATGTGTTGAAGTGCGTGAATATTATGTGAAATATGTTCAATGCCGTATATTTTACCAAAAGTTTTAATAAAATATTCTAATATTTTTTGACAAAAATTTAAGTAACGGTCACTCATTACGTTAGGAGTCAATAATAATGTCATACTAACATGCAAACAAAGAAAATTATTATAACATTGTTTGTTTATAATGTTTTTTAAGACGATAGGACCAAAATACAATAAAAATGCCCGAAACTCGTTTGCTTTCCACCTATTTACTTCGTCAACACCTCGTGGTTTCCGCTGAAAGTCTTTAGGCATACACTTTTTAAACGATATTAATAAAATACTAAGAGTAGTGCTATTTCTGTTACCGATTCTATTAGTCAATGGTCCTTTTAACCATAGGTTAATTAATTTTCTAGTTACACCTAGACAAACTAGATGCATATAATCTAGGGAAAATGATTTGATTATATCTATACCAGGAATTTCAGTTAAAATGGAAAGAGTAGAGCAATCGGTGTGGTGTTCCTCATTTTGCCTTGAAATGAAATTTTCATGTGTTCTCTTTGTACAATTCAAATCGGGAAAACATATTCTATGGTTTTTAGAATCTCCTTCAACCATACAACGAGAACATGAAAAGTATCCGGCGTGACCCTTAGTTTTCAAAACGTACGATTTTGCAGGAACATCGCATGCAAAAACCTCCAAAACTACTTTTTTTTCATATAATACACCAGACTTATTTAATATTTCAATTCCATTTAATATTAAATTTCGTATTTCTTTAACAAAATCGTCTAAAAAATCATTGCTGTTGTTTGGTTTCTCATTTCCCCAATATAGCCCAATCGGAAATACATTATTATAATAGGGTCTAATATAACACAAGATTGGCCAAAAAGTGCTTTTCGAGCTTTTAGTTAATGGAAGGCCATCGATTCCTACAACTAATTTTATTACATCCATAGTGTCATCAATATAATTCTGTATAATACCATTGCGTACACCAAAATGGTAGTATTGCCCAGGTGCCATTTTTTTAAGTGGAACCTTTATATTTGAAATTTTAGTTTTTAACAAAGTTCTAGCATCACCCGGAATGGAAGGGTCGTAACTAGACTGAATAATTTTTAATAAATCTGAAGTTGCAGCCTGTGAAATATTATGTTTGATGCTCCATAATGCTAGTTTAGTTTTAACAGAATCTGCATCTACCTCAGTATAATGACGAAAGGGTGGTTCTTCATCCGAACAATCTGTATCTGATTCCATAATTGCATTTTCTTCATCATCGATAAACTGAATTTCAGGTTTATAAGAACAACTTGCAGTTTCTTCTATTGTATTATTAATATCAGGTGATTCTGAAATACATTTTTTTTTATTATAAGGTTATTATTACTATAAAATTACTTATAAATAAAATATGTAAATCATAATAATTAATAATTAATAAAAACATTTTTGTTGTACGAAAGACGATTCTGAACGCAAACTGCAGATCACCTATATTGTATGTATGTAATATATATATTATTATATACATATCTAAGAAAATATTTTATTTTAGTGAAACTATACGTTACAATATAATATATAATATGTATACATTGGTAGGTTACACTGGTATACATTGATGAATGATAATAATAAATTAATATTAATATTATTTACTAGTAATTTATTTTTATCTTGTCAGTATAATAGATATATAGGTTCGGACTCAGGGACTAAAATTGTGTGTAGTACGACCCACTTTGTGTAGTACGAAATGTTAAGCGTGGAATACGAAATTAAAAAGTGTGTAATGGCCTGTAATAAATAGTAAAATTTATTACAGTTTTTTCTTCAAAAAATTAAAAAAATATTATTGGGAAATAGATATAAAAATTTAATGTATACCATCTTTATGTTATCAATATTTTGGTTATTTATTTATTTTAAGTTAAATATATAGTGTGTAGTAAGAAAAAAATTATATTTTAGGCTCTGGGTTCGGTAGGTTGGAATAATTATTATTGCCAAGAAAAATAGCATGAATTATATAATGCAAGGCTGGGCGTTAGTATTATTATTATTATTAACTTACAGAGTACAAATAATTAACTTTTAATTAACTGAGTTAATTTTGCATTTAAACAAGTTAACTGTTAAGTTGAATTCAATTTCAATTATTATAGTATTTTCATATTTTCGTATAAAATATTATAAATACCTATAATAATTATTATGAAATTACAATAAAATTATTATCAATGCCAGTTATTTTACTTGTCCGGAGAAAAATGCCGCCCGGTGGCCGAGGATCGAACCGCGACCTGCTGCGTTGCAGCGGACTCGTCAGACCACTCGGTCACCTCGTCCCCCTATTATAGTTTATTTATTAGTTTCTTTAACTTTTTTTTTTGAAAAAAGAAATAAAGGCATTTGACTGTCTTTTCATTTTTTATTTAATAATTTAATATGTAATTTAGTAATATATTAAATAATAGAAAACAATAGACACACATCCACAGACCACAGTTAAAGAAAACATATTATTTTATTATAATATAAATAATAATCGAGATTGGTGTTGCACTTGCACTGTTGCTCAACGTTTACACTTTTACAGTAATGTAATATTCGAAAATAGTTAATACCACAGAATAGAATAATATCTAATAATATCATTATAATAATAATACATTGTTTGTCGACGTCGCACGTCGTCGATAAGCAATTTCCTGGGAAATACCCCAAATTTTATCGAAGTTTTACCAAGTTTAGTCGAAAACAAGAATAATCAATATAGTAATAATATGTCAAGTGTCAACCACCGTACTCATTAGTCATTCCATGATTATTATAAGAACAAATCTAGATTATATAATCAATAATTGATAAATAACTAGCATTAATATTTGTATTAGACAAATCATGATATAACTAACGGTTAGTTATATCATGAGACAAATTTCAATGTTTCACGTTTTTGTGATATATTTCATGCTTTTAACAATAATCTAGAGTCGTAAATTGTAGATTTATCAGTGTTATGTTTTAACTATGAGCTGTACAATTGTCTTGTCATATATTGTTATTTATGAGCTATCGTAGTTTTATATTAGTATTAATATCCATGAATTCTTATTTCTTATCTTAAAATCTTTTAAAACTTAGTGCTTACGGGAATTTAATTATGGACATTCTAAAAAAAAAAGGGTCTGGGGGTGGATATATCCCCATATCCCCCCCATAATTACGCCACTGAGTTTCACTAATTTTTAAGTCTAATTGTAAACTATTAATGTTAACAATAATATATAATTACTAATTAGTATACAATAACTATACAATTACTTATTACAATATTTATTATATAATATATATATACCAACCTGCATTATTTTCATTTTCCAAGCCAACAGCTTCATCATTATGTTCTTCAAAGTCTAATTGATTAAATACAAACTGATCTTGATTTTTAAGTTCTTTAAGCTCTTCGCGAATCCGTCTTTTTTTACTGGTTTGACTTAAACAACTCATGTTTTTAATGTTAAGGCAAAATAATATATATACCTATATTCTTCACTGTGTTGATGACTATTTTTACTATTTATATAGCTCTATTGGACGTGCGACTGCGACTATTATAATATAATATTATTATTATTATTTATAAATTAAACTATTAAAATATTACTCAAAATTCAAATTGCCAAACGAATAACAATGTGATTACTTCGCGGTCTAGTTCGTGGATATACGACTCACCACGGCTAGCGATGTAATATTATATGTCATATAATATGATGACCTATTGTTTTGACGTGGTACGACACGTTTTGATTTGTGCGCAATAACAATACTATCTCTTCTCTCTGGCGCTTCGGGCTTTCGGCAAGCATATTTTTTAACAATATATACATATTATATATATATTACTTAAAATCAAATATAGCTGAACCTAATTTAATGTCTTTTATTTTTAAAAACAAACAAACAACAGTCAACAGCAGTAGTGTAGTAGCTGCAGAGCTCAATCAAGGTGTGGATAGTGAGGGGCTATTTAAAAGTTGTAGGTAATACACCACAATTTTATTCAGGATATAATCGTGAACATCACCAATATAAAATTCCAAGAACGGGCCATACACCCATGTACCGCATCAGGTACGCCAGTGGTCAACAGGGCAATAAATAAGTACTTCCTGAATTGATAATGATTATTTTCATTTTTGATATAAAACTCTAATTTTTAAAAACACGAAATTAGAACCTATTGTGAATCTGACCATTTACCTATTATTTACAAATGAAGACAGTAATATAATTAAGGTTGTACTTAAATACAAACTAAAACACTCCACCGACCGCCAAATTCTGTGTAATAAAAACTCATGTCAAATTACATGTCAAAACTCAAAACCGCCACTAGTCTGTGGTACAAGACGTGAACAACTCTTCATCCTAGCTGTTAATATATACGTTAGTGACTATAGTGACTACTCGCATTTTTTTACTTGATAATAATCATGATAAATTATTATTCGAATTCGTAGTGATTACCACAGCAAAGTTTATAGTCTGTTTACATGTTGTCCATACGACATATATTCATAAATATCAGAGCCGATCTACGGTCATAATATGAGGGGGGCATATTACATATTCTTGATGAGGCCATTTTATGCAAAACAATTTTTTTTAGCGAGAAGCTAATATAATAATATCGTTGTACTGCGAAAGTGAGTAATTATTAAATCCGGTGCATTTTTCATAAAACGGTTATTTTTAGGCATTGCGTCGCTATCTATTATCGCCGCGGTAGATCATCCGTTCAATAACAAGTTGTAAAGTAATTGTGTCACGCTTCGAGCGACGACTATTATTATATTCATTTATGATGTAATTTGTGTTCGGGAAATATATAGTATATTATAATATATATAGGTTAGGGCTTTAAGCGATAATCTATGTATCATACACGAATTAAAATAATATAATAATGGTAACCCATACGAACTATATTATTTATTTATAGTAAAATGCGAATTCCGCATATTATATATATTATATTATAATATAATATTATATATATAGCAATACACTATGCGCCTATACCGTAAATAATGTGGACGAAATTTTAATAAGCATGAAATAAATACTTAAACGAATACATTAACAATACGATACTAATTTAATGTGTGGCTACTGTTAACTTAGTAACCTATTATTAATGCTTATAGATTTAGGCTTAATAAGTATTATTTATGATACTCTATTTTAATGTTAGTCATTGTAATTTCATTAAGCGTTTAATACAAATTGACTTTTTAATATTTATAATCTAACCTAAATCAAGTGTTTATATAGCACTAAGTATTTACTTTAAAATAAACGTTTAAAAATAAACACTTCATATAGAACTATTGAATCTTATTTTTCGAACCTTTCAAATTCAAGTCAACTTTAACGTTTATAGTAGTTTTAACATTGGAAAATGTTATGTGGGTACCTAAATATATACGTATAATTAATTAATTATATAATATGTTAAACAATTTTAAAAATAATATCAGAAAACATAATGTTCGTATATTTTTCAGATTACGTCTCGTGAACAATCTAGATAAATTAATTTAGATGACTAAGTTTTCTATCTTAGATGACAGGTAGATACCAATTGTGTAATTTATCTAGATAAGATAAAAGATACGATTGTTTTATCTAACTAAATTTAGCTATTGCACAACACTGGTTAAAACAGTAACAATGTTTTTAAGCAAGATTAATAAATTATGGGGAACAGTTAGTTGCCTCACCTTAGAAGCTTAACTTAAAAAATAATATCACAAATGTAAACAAACATTATTGTAAAACTATAATAGAATGTAAAAATTATAAAAATATTAAATTCGTCCACGTTGTATAATATTTTTAAATTTTCCTTCTATGTAAAACATGCATGATACGTTTATAAATATTAGAAAGAATAAAATAAATAAATAAACTATTAAGGCTACAACATAAATGATAATTATTAGATAAAAAAAATAATGGAATACACCCATGTTGAAAGTTATTAATATAATTAGATTCAAGTTAATATACTGTATTATAAAATTTAATGTTTATTATTTATTTATCATACAATGATTACACAAATTATTTATTTTAAAGAAGAATATTATATTTTATTTCCAGATCGACATTGAACAATTAAATACAGCTTATCTTGATGATATCGCTTCATGACGTACGTAGTCACATATCGATACAATTTTAATTACAAAAAATATGGGAAAATGATTGTTTCTATACATCAACAACGAAAAAAAAATATTGATTATTGAACAGTTAAACTAACTTTATTTTGAGAGTATATCGAAACGCATTCTTCTCTAGCCAAATCAGTACAGAATGAATTTATAAAATTAGTTTCATTCTCATCTGTAAAATTAATTTGGCACTTATTAGATTTGATTTGCACATACGATTGCTAACCTAACTCGTAGAACTCATTTGTATAAGTAGATATTATGTGAAGAGCAATTTTTTGCCGCACACCAGGCAAACATGTAATCAACGCGAAAAGATTGTAATTATTTTTACCATAGAAATATTGGAATTGTTTCTTTATATAAGCTAACCGACATATTTTATATAAGCAAAACATATACGAAGTGATATTCAAAATTGTCTTGGTTTTTTAAAAAAAATCTCTCTGAAAAACACATCTGTGTAGGTAGGCTAAATGAAATAATTTATTATTAATATAATAAAAATTAAATATTGCATTTAACGAAAAAATGTTCAGAGAAATAACGAATTATTGAACTATTGAAAAGAAAATAAGAAATAATTGGATATAAATAAATAATATTCATTAGAATATGGTTTTGTAACAAATATAGCAGTTACAGAAACGTGATGGAATTTTGTTAAGTCGCCGAATATGATACAAATTTTGATGCGTGAACACAAAAACATATTACCGAATCCCAAACGCTAACCAAAAAAATTATTAAATAAAAACAACATTTTAATTAATAAATCATTTTCAGATAAAATTTAACCTAACCTACCTAACCTACATTTACGATATTTGTTTTTTTTTTAATACTACGTTTTTTTTAGCTTCCGAACCCCGCTCTTAAAAAAAAATTTGATCTACCACTCCTTGGGGCTTATATATATTTTACTAGTATAATTTTATCTTAGAGATAGTAAGCTATTAAAAAAATATACAAACTCCTAGCCTTTATCGGGAACTAATGTTTTCTTTAAGGTATATATAATGCAAAATTTTTGCATCAGCACCAAGACATGAAGTGCAATATCGAGACCAAGACCAAGACCAATACTGATTCTGCAAGAACAAGACGAAGACCAAGACTGCTATAGTTTTGATCTTGGTAATGGTTTGATCATCACTACCTATATGGATATATAGTTACTTTATATTATTAATTTATATACACATACGTTCTTTGAGAAATGATTGGTATAATTGTATCAATGCTGTAAAAACAAACCACATTGTAACAGTTTCCTTTTGTTTTTGGTATAACTATATCATATAAGTAAGCAAATCTGAGGGTACAATGTTAAATATTACATAGATTCAACAAACATTTTTAATTTAATCTCAAAATGTATTCAGAAAACAATAATTAATACATTGATCATCTTACTATATCCCTTTACTAAGTGTAAGAAGTCAGTCGGATATCAATACAATTTTAATAAAACAAAAAAAGTGTTTCCATGCTTTAACTGCAAACTTATCATTTTTTAAATTTGATAGTTAGGTCTTTAAATGTGATAGTAATCACAATATCTATGCAATTATTCATAGGTACCCCAAAATTTAAACACAGCATTTGAATGGATTTAAATTACATTAATTGATGCATCAAATCTGATTTACCATCCATCTTTAACAAATAGAAATTAGCAAATAGAAAACTATAAGAATATTTAAATTCATATTTTAAGAAATGGTTTGATATAAAATATAATATTAATTATAAATACATTTTAGGGAAATTAAATCAAATAAAAAATATACCTACGTACCTTCCAGTAATTGTCCTAGAAAAAAAATCATAATACATTTTAATTATTAATAAATGATATTAAATAGTTTAAACGATATTAAGATATTAGATACATGATAACCAAAAAAACAAATTAATTTAAATGGACTAACAAATGTTTATATCCCTCAAAATATGCGATTGAAATATTGATAAGTCATTTTGAAATGGTTTATAGTTTTAGAACTCAGATAGTCATTCCGTTGTAGAAGATTAATAGGTGTATCTAGTCTAGACATTCAAGACAATGGTAGTGGTAGTTATACTCAATCTCAATAATGAGTGATCCTAATTGAACGAATTCATTCAACGGAATGGTACTCATTGAGTAAGTAGAAGTTTGAGAACGATGAGAATAATTTAGTTTAGGTACAGTTAATAAATATAAAATATAATATCTTTAGAATGTCCATTCATTCATTAATGGCAAACTATGTAAGAATAAAGACCATAAGACAATCATCTCTTTAAAAATAATACTGATGACTAGAGGCAGGGATTATATTCTTTTGCATATTTTTTTGAGACTATGCAGTCAGACGGGAGTTTGAAATCTTCATAAATCATGAAACCAGTTAATTAATGGCAAAAGTTTTTTTCCACATTTGAGAATATTTCAAGATAAAAGAATATTTGGTGTAAGAAATAATATTAGAGAATATATCGAATAATTTTTATAGATTTTGATATTTTTTGTTGGAGTGGCGTAAATTATACGCCTCATAATAGTGATATACGTACTGATATGATATTATTGATATTGATATATTTTATATATTTATATACGTAATACAACCATCGTATTTCGTATGATCATTATGCTCTAATTAATAATGTATTGTAATAAAGGAATTAGTAAGTAATAAGTAGCAAGGAGTCAAAAATCTCCCAGTCACTCCGTACTTAATGTAAAACAGCTTTTGATTTGGAAACCATTGAAAACGATAGAATATCTATTATGGCCCATTTTCTTGTTCTTGAAACATCGATCAAAAGGTTAGAAAAGTGTAATATGTTTCTTGTTGATTCGATAAATCTAATTGAAAATACAATTGGTCAACTTCAAAAAATACCAGGAGAAATGGAAAAACAATAAAAATGAAAATTGATCAACAAAAAAATCGAGGGCTCATCATTTTGAAAAACGTCGCTAAAGTTTTGAATGGATGAAGTTCCACTTAGAGATAATTGTTTACCGACTATGAAGATTACTGATTTGGAAAATTCTCCCCTGACTTTAGTTGACGTCAAACGTTCATTTAGCACTTATAAAAACACATTAACAGACTGTCGTCCAAATATAACACCAGAGCACATGAAACAATATATAGTTGTCAACTGTTTTCAAAAATTTTCCTTATTAATACAATTTAATCAAATTTCTTTTAACATGTATTATTTTTAATTATGTCCCTATTTAAATCCGGGTTTGGTATTATTTTGAGTATAAATGCATATTTTTAGTTCAAGAGAATAAATTAATAAAAAAGCATATTTTTTGCATATTTTATTATGATTTTTAAAGAATATTTTCAATTTTTTAAGAGAATATTAGCATCTTATTTTGGCTATTTTAAAATAATATAATTTCGGCCCCTACTGATAACGTACTCGGTTTCCCTGCAGTATGATAAAAAAAAGTAGTTATTAAATATTCATAATATTGTTTCTCTATGACATTATAAATTCAACTACTAATATTACAAAAACATGATACCAATGTAGTAATTTAATAATTAATGGCATCAGTTTTTTTTTTAAATATTGAATGGCTATGTTGTTGTATGCGCTCCACCGTAGATTTCGGTCTAAATGCGATTACGGCATCTTTACAGTTTATTATATAACTTAAAATAAGCCAAAAATCTTAATGTCGACGATGACTCTGACTCGGAAAATGCTTATCCTCTAAAACAGCGGTTCCCAATATTTTTAGCTGTGCGGACCACCAATTTTGTAAACAAATCTTTGAGGCCCACAAACAACTCACCTATATACGAATGCATAAATATATATATAATATATATGTTTATACAAACGTCAGTTGTTAGAACTAAAAAGAATTTAAAAAATCAATTGTTTATCATAAAAAACACTTCATTAAACT